GCGATTCGGCTATAGTGGAGTTGGTACCTTACAGCAAGATATTTATTTTTTATCCTGCAAGAGGAACTGTGCATCGTGCTTTCGGTGAATGCCCGAACTAACCTTAAGAAATTATGCAGAAGTCAGGATGTCATCTTATCTGATGAATGGAAGTCATCGTCACCATCATGATTGTAGTCGCTCGCTTCCTCCTCATAATCCTCATCGTTTTAATGACTATCACTATTGTCCTGATCACTGTTATCATTGTGATCGTCATCATTGCGATCTTCATCATCATTTTAATCATCACCATCGCAGTCATAATCGTGATCGTCTTGATCATCATGATCATTATAGGGATAAACATTGTGTTCATCATTTCGTCATCATCGTTGTCGTCATAATATTTTTGATCAAGTGATAATGATTAAAACCATCAAGTTATCATCTATCATTATTAAGGTATTAATTTTTGAATTTTTAGAACAAAAGGCTTTCATTGCATTTTTTCGATGTTGAACGGATAGAATACAATTTATCCGAAGGTTGGGTGATTTGTTCGTGCTTTGGTCTTCATATTGAAAATTACCAATGTATAAAAACGCTTTATTTATAAACAACGCAAACAGAAAATTTGGCCAGTCCGATGACTGACCAGTACCGACCTTTCGGCTCGTCTCTCACGATCCTTCTTCATGGTGGTCTGGATTGGTTTCTGCAGTTGATTCTATGGTCTGCAGCTATTATAGTGTCTGGAACCTAAGGTATGCTTTTGGCCCATACTACCGGTTAAGTAGTTTTTGGGTTACAGAGTTAGTGAGCGTTTTCCAATTCACACAGAGTTCGTATCCTTTATCCCGATTGAGTTTCGCAGGAATGAGGCTTATTAAGGCTTTTTTGATTCGGCTGTTCAGTCAATTAATCAATTTCGGCTGCTTGGTTACGTGACTTTTTCCTGTTGCGTGTTGCACCATCCCTGAGGCCTTATCACATTGTTCTTTGACTTCGTTAGTGAAGAATTTGTTTTCTTCGTTTATTCCTTGTTGCGGCATGTCGTCAGTGTTCGTCTGCGGTGGTCTTTCATCTTAATTTTGACATGTGGTCTTTTGTTTTTCGGGTGATGGTGTTTCCGGTTTTCTTTACAATATTTCCCGCAGTCGCATGGTAGTTTGTAAATCTAACCTAATGAGTTGTTATTATTAGTTAGTTTACAAAGTATTACGTTTTTTTATTGGAGCTTTTATATATAACATCAATATTGTACTTGGTATTAAGAGTCTTTGTAATTTCACTAAAATTTTTATGATACCGTAGAATTAGGTAAGGTTTATTATTTGAGATGTTTCTTTTTAGATTATTGGTGTTAGATATAGATTTAATTTAATTTTATGGTATTATTAAAAATGATTGTTATCACACGAAGTGTGTTCGAATATGTTTAATTTCATCCTTGAGAAATTATTAAAGTTTTGTTACTAGGAGCACTGTGTATTAAAACTATAATTATAGATCTTGTGTTATTCAAATGATTATGTGAGATAACATTTAGTAATAGTTTGGCGATGCTTTAGTTTTATAGCAATTACCAGAGTTAATT